GAGCCGAGCTGGAAACGGCCCTTTACTAAAGGAGGGTGTTTGCACGGCGTCAGGGAGGGGGAGGCAGGAGCTGGCGAAGCCCCCACGCGCGGCTGGTTCCTCCAGAGAGGGGAGAATCCCTCCGCAAAACGCCTCGTGTGGAGCCGCCGCAGAAGGGCCCCAAAGCCCAGGCGGCTGTGACGGGGCGTCGGGTGTGTGCAGGGGCGTCAGGCGTCAGCGGCTCCCTGCACGCCACCGGCCTGGGGCTGCCCGCTCGGCGGAGCCAGCCGGGTGGTTTTAGGGGGGTCGGTGGCTTGGCCACGTGAGGAAATTGTGAGTAACGGTCACCGGAGGAAGACCACGGGGTTCCAGGGTGCTTCCTCACCATGGAGCTGTGTCATGCCAGTGGGTGAGGGGAACAGTAACGAACTGGCAGCACTGGAAACTCAAGAGCTGAGTATTTCTGGTTTCTTCAGAAAACGGTGGAATTTCCTCCGGCAGGCCTCCTCACTCACACGGAATCTCAATGCGCTTGGACTGGTATGAGGCTTTCCCAGGAATTCCTGCCGGCCACACCGCACACCTCCCCGCGGGGTGTGCACACCTCCCCATGAACACCCGGAGAACACGCTCCCACCTCGGTACCGAGCCGGCGCTCACACCGCGCTCTCGCCGAGCGGGTCCCCCCAGTGCTGCCGCCGTGCTCCCACGCGTCCTGGGGATACGGGCGCATCTTTACCTCACCCATAGCTGTTTCTCGGGGCAGCGCCTTCCCCACCATGGTGTTTGTGACTGTTCTGACCTTACGGTTTTTGGTTTGCACACTTGAGGAAAACACTTTGGCTCCGAACTTGAAGCAGAGCGCTTTTTCCATTCACAGTTATACCCTGAAGGCACCGGCTGCTTTCCCAGTGGCTTTGCTGCCCTCATAGAAGATTTTTATCTTTATCTCTGCTCTTTCGCATTATCTGCACAAGCCAGTCCTTTGGAATGCCTTTCTCCTGTGCCTGCTCAGAGTCATTCCCATGTGAAATCCCCCCATGAGTCACAGCAGCTGCTGGATCAGGCAATCCTTATTTTCCAGAAGGCTTTTCCACCCTCCTCTGCTCTGTGCTGCTAGGTGATTTAACGACTGTGAGTAACCTCTGTCATTCCACATGATAGTATCAAAGTTGTCATACCTCATGCTTCAAGGCTTCATCTGACAGCCAAAAGGAGCAGGAGGAGAGTTCCTCACACGTTTGCAGTGTCTCATAATTCAAGTGTTGAGTGCAGTTTGGTTCTTTGAAACCAGGCTCAGATCTCAGTGTCCCTATGAAACAGCAAAAGTGACAGAAACTCTAGTAGCACGGACTGTCCTGGAGGCAAACAGCAGGAAAGAGGGAATTCAGAATGGAGACAGAGGAAGCAAGGGAAGGACAGTGAAGGCATGCAGGTATTCTGAGAATGCTAGCTAACTAAAGTGGATCCATCTCTGAGAGAGGCAAGAGAATGGGATCTCTATACAGGTAAGTAATCCTTTGGGACATAATATCAGAGAAAACAGCACACAAAAAGATGTAGCTCAGTTTCTTGGTTTGGTAGGCCAACTGGGAAAACTTGTTATAAACTACAAATTGTTCTGCTGTTTTCCTTCCCCCTCCTGGATGGTGGAAAGACCCAGAAGTGAGATGCAAACACTGGCCTAAGTAAAGGATAAGTCGTCACCACCTGCATGTGCCCCATATTCTTAGAGGAAATGGTCATTTCATCCCAAAATACTGACTTTAAAAGTTCCACTGAGGAATACGGGTGTCTTATTCATCAGAAACATTTGACACCTGCATCTACAAATGAATTTAGAAAGAATAAAATTTCCTTGCAGGAGATCCAGGAAAAATAACTCTTAAGAGCTCAAGCTGAGGCATGAGCTCTTCAACCTTGATGAGCACCAAAGCTCCCTGCAATTTTAAATCCTGCTGATGCACCACAGACACCCCTTTGTAGATCAGGTGTGGATTTGTTCCATTTCTAGTCTTCTCTGACAAGCTGAAATAAAGCCTATGGATATTTCTTTCTCCATTACAAAGCTACTTTGTGTCTTTGCTACAAAAGATGTCCACTGTAAATTCAGCTTTGTTAACACCTGTAAATGACCCAAACCACCAAACACAAGATCGGAGATGAACCAACCACATTTCACCCAGGTGAACTACCCCAGCAGTTAACGCGCTGCAGCAGATCTGCCACGTGAAGCACAAGGCACTGAAATCAGATTATACAAGCTTGTAAAGGGCAGACACTCCTGGCCTCTAATCACAAAACCTGCACTTGTGGAGGGCAAACAATTCTACTGTCCCTGACACAGCCTGGCCATTTTATGTGTGAATTTGTGGCTCAAGAAAGCTTGAACAGCAGGGGAGAGCGGCAGAGAGCACCAGCAGCTGCTGTGCAGCCTCCCTGCTGATTTCTGGATACACAAGTTAGTCCAGGCCTTTTTGCACCCTCAGATAATGAAGAAATGTTCCTGCTTTCTACAGTCAATCCAGTGCTATTTATGTAACTGCAAGTTCACGTGGATGTTCATACCCCGCCCAGGAGGTAGGCTATAGTGAAAATACACTCATGGTCAACACATCACAGGGCAAGGGTGCACACCCGCGTGCTCTCCAGAGCCCACACATCCCTCTCAGCCTGCACCCGAGACCACAGAGCGTGCCCTGGCCAGAGAAAGGTCTGGTGAGACTTGAATTTTGTCCCTCTGTTCTCCTTGTGAAACCCCCGTAAATCGTGGTCTTTCTCAACAGAACTGCTGACAATTCTCAGCAGTTTCTCTTGTGGGAAGCACTGCAGAGGGAATCCCCCCTTTTTTTAAAGATCACATTTCCTACGTGGTTGCCCCTTCTTCACACATCAGAAGTTGAATCATGCAACACGAAAGGCATGTGGTGAGTAAACTACCTTTCTATCTAAGGAAACCGGGGACGGCCCTGAGGGGAAGGAAGGGGTAACGTAAGTGAAGCAGTGAGAATGGTACTGTGAGTGTGGCAAGCAGAGGCTGAATTTCAGTATGCAGTTCCTTCCAGGAAGATTTCAAAGAAATTTACAAAAAGACCCCAAAAACCAGTAAACTGTGGCACAGAGACATGACTTAATCTCAGGTCCCCCAGCAAGGCACTAGTTAAAGCGCTATCTCCAGAGTCCATTGTCCTGTCTGGAAGGACACCAGCACTCAAAAAGAGAATCTTCCTTAGGGGCCACATGGGAAAAGCTGTGAGCACAAATGGGCAGCATTTGCTTCCCGTCGCTCCTGGACTTTCCAGGGACAGGAAAGCTAAGGAAAGAAGTGGCAAAGAGGAAGGAAAAAAGCAAAAGAGAGAAGGACCTGACACACCCTGCCTTAAAGCCTGGCTGCTGGGGCGAGAGGATGCAGCTGGGTTAACACCTGACCCAGGACTAAGCTATTTGGCTTCCCCTGCTGAGCTGGATGACGTTGAGGCACTTTGGTGTCCTCTCCAGGGAGCACTGTCATCCCCAGCGCAGGAACAGCCCTTCCCACTCTGCAGCATGCTGAGAGCCATGCTCCTGTGCCAGGAGATTGGGAATGGTGTACTGGGGAGGGTTTGGAGGGCTTGCCAGCTGCTGGGAACGTGAAGGGTCGAGGAGGTAGGGTAGGGCAGCGCTGGGAGGAGGCCAGGAACTACCCAAGACTTAGGTGACTTGGGCAGCTGGATATGTGGAATGACAGTATTTGAGAAGGAGGGGACAAATTTGAGAGAGGGGGGTGGCAGCAGACAGGAGTGGCAGGGACCTGTGCCGAGAGGGACAGCAGGAAGGAGACGCCTGGAGCAGGGCAGCTGGAGGGAGAGGCCAGAGCAGAGGGACACTTTAGCAAAGTTACTGGGTAGGTGAGTTCTTGAGGGAAAGAGAAGTGAAAGGAGGAAAAAGGAAAAGGGCACAACAGAGGCTACCAGGGAGGATCAACAAGAGATAGAAGCTGCCTTGAAAAGAAGCTGAGGTAGCCCCTAAGAGACACCTGCTTGTCCTGAAGCAATTCTGGCCTCTAGTGAGGGATGTCCCAGGTTAGGAAGGTGATACTGCTGCTGGCAGACACCAGAAAACACATTTTACTCTTCACTCACTCATTCATTCTTTCATCTTTGTGGTTGCAGCCCAGGTTTTAGGTGCATCTTCCTGCTGGCCTGTAAGGCAAGAACTCCTTATGCCACCCTTGCACAGGCTTGGCTGTTGGTTATCATCTCTGCTGCACGACTATGATTTTCTTAATTTGCTTCTACTGCTTACAGCATTTCCTCTTTTTTTTTTGGCTATACTTCACTGGTAGGTGTTAATTAACTTCTCAAAAAGTAGGCAACCAATATTGTTTCTATGTTTTGTTCTTGGTGTCCTTGTTTTTAACTTCCTCCTTCACTAAGAGGCAATAAATGTTCATTTTCCCTTAGCATGAAAGAATATTGAATTTTTTTGAAGGAGAGCACAAGTGCTGTTACCAGTTTCACTTTGCAGACAAGAAACACAAAAGCAGAAACTTTGGTAAGATTTTCATTCACTGAAAACTACTTAACTCCAAGAGGAATTATAGAAACTCAGGAATCCTCTGCATTTCTGAAGGTGCAATGAGAGCTGTGGCAAGCCAGCAACGACCGCTTAGTTTTCAAACTTGGACTAGAGCTCAGGAATGACTGGCTTCCACATCTGTACCAAGACCACCAGGATGTGCTTCTTGGATGACTATATTATTTTTATACCACATCCTGCTCTCCTGTGAGAAATGGGTTTTTTTTGGGGGGGGAAGGGGGTAAGGCCATATAGAATAATTCATGTGGAATTTATCTCCGTGTGGGGCCATCCTCTAAGGTGTGAACACTGATACTCATCACAGGTTTTGAAGAAGGTCCTTCCAGTTGAGGCAAAGTGACATTTCCTTGTGCTAAACTCATCTCAGTTTCCTTACTCATTTTTTCC